GTTGGTTCCAAAGTTGGTCCTGTAGCTCAGTGGTTAGAGCACTCGCTTTGCAAGTGAGAGACCTGAGTTCAATTCCAGGCAGGGCGAAACCTTGGGCAAGTTTCCTTACTCCACACGCCTAATAATAATCCCTCCAAAAACCCCAAATAATAATAAATTGGTCATTTTCAATCTACGACTGTTTGTGGGACATTGCTGTGCGCAATTGGCTGCCGCGTTCGCCCACAAATATACAGTCAATTCACTTTACAGTGTGTTCTGTGAAGCGCTTTGGGACGTCCTCCCGCTATATCAAATGCAAGGATTATTATTATTATTATTAAGTGGGAGTGCAGATCCTCTGAAGAGCATCTTCCCCCAGACAAGATCAGCCAGGCACACTCCAACTTCCTGTGCCAGCAGGTCCTGGTCAATGATCAGAGCCATGCCACATGCACCATTCATCTTTCAGCAGAGCCCCTTTAATTGCCCAGTAACTATGAAAACTCGAGTCACTCATCATCTCACACATTTCCTGTAGAGTAAGAACATGAATCTGCCTTGGGAAAGGTAAAATACAAACAGAAGTTGCCGGGAACACTCAGCAGGTCAAGTTCTGATGAAAGATCATCGACCTGAGATGTTAACTTACTTTCCTCTCTCCAAAGGTGTTGCCTGACCTGCTGAGTGTTCCCAGCAACTTCTGCTTTTATTTCAGATTTCCAGCATTTGCAGTATTTTGCCTTTTGGGAAACGTAAAGGCTGATCTCAAATCTTTTGCAACCCAAGAAATTGACGTTCCAAGAGGCAAAGGAGAGAACAGGCCTTTGAGAAATGTTCTTACACTTCTGATGTGGTGAGATTGTCGAGGCAGTTTACGGATGCTGGTCAATACAGCATCCAGCTGGGTGCATTTACCACCTACGCCCGTGTCCTAAACCTGAAGCGTGTCAAGGACATGAGCTTCAATCTCCTCCTGAAACCCAATCTCAAACCAAACCTTCTGAAGTCCTGGCACTGAAGAAGGCACCAAAGGATGGAATTCATGCCGAGATCTGGGCCAGGGTGTCTCACAAGATTGTCCATCATCAGATCTTTCACCTTTGATCCAGTTACAGACATGAACCCACTCAGGAAGAGCCTAGCACCACCATCCCATCCAGCCTTCTGTTGAGAACTCACCCCATCCAGAAAGATCTTTTTACTGTGATCAGTTTTGTGTATTTGTGAGCTGGTGGGTTCACTAACAGGCTGACTCCAGCCTTGCCAGCTTGTCCCTTTGGCCCAGGGCGGGGACTGTTCATTTGTTAGGGCTGCTCGCTAAGGGCCAAGCCATTTTAGTGAGCAACAGCTTTATCTATCTCACCAGAATTCCTGCCCCCTCACCAAGATGATTGCCATTGGCATCACCAGGCATTGATTTCACCTCATACTAGGTTTTCACAGTGGAAGTACCCTTGACCCGGCCAATTACAAGGTGGGCCCATCCTTGTAAGAATTAGGATCTTCAGTCATACTCTGGCAGGCCCTGCGGACTTGCCATTTTCCCTTTCCAAAACCCATCATTTTCCAATGGTTCACTGGTGATATTGAGGTGGATACAATTTACCATGAGTAGTAAGCTAAGATGTAATAAAAGCTTGTTGAGTCAACAACAACTGAATTGTGAAAGGAGCTACATAAAGGTAATGTTGTTCACATAAACGCCTAGTGTCATATTGTTATGCCAGATGCAAAAAGGATTTGGGCAGATGATTAACATAGTGCTGGTACTATGGAACAGAATTGCTCTGTGAACATCTGCTGTCTGGTTCTGGGCAAAGGAACTTATCTTGTTGAGAGCAGTACAGTTAAAATTACTTTAAAATTGCACTGTGCCGGTTATAGATTTACTTGTTGTGCAATAAAACCTTTCAGGGAACACAAGTTCCATGCAATGCTATTTAGTTGAAGATCAGAGCCTTACAAATGGATCCCTTTATCATAATTATGTTTCTCTGGCACAAGAATAGTGTTCATTCAAAGTAAGTCTCAGGTTATAAAACCTTGACCCTTTCTGAATGCATTGACTCCAATGATCGGTAAATATCTAGAAACCTAAATTCCATTAAAAAGGTACTGTTTTTATAAATAACTGTCAAATAGTATGTTAAATTTATAGAAGATAACACAAATATGTTAGAAAATAAAATCAGCCAAATCTGTAACAAAATAACGCTAATTCCTCTAACCAGATATCAGACTGTTTTATTATTATTCGTTCGTTATTCCCCAATATCCCGATGGGTCAGACCAAAGGCCGGTACAATCAACAGATCTTATAACAGAATAACACCACTATAGACATCTCGAGTTCAATTTCCAGATCGACACACAATATATCAACATATTCGAATGTCGTTCACACGCACATCAGCGCACTTAAATACCTGGTGCAATCGCCAGCGTACTCAAATGCCTGACAAGGAGACAATCACAAACCTCCTAGGTAATATAGTCAAATATTCAGCTTTAAAAACAATCAGACGTTGATGTATTCAAACATGCAACATCATTAAACGTTCGTCAAGGCTTGATTGTACCTCCCTTGTCTGTTTACTGGGGAATCCCGCCGACTACGCCAAATTGTTAGAAAATAAAATCTTCTTTTCGAGTTCCAATCAAACACAACCACTGTTTGCAACCAGAGTAGTGTTTATTAAACTCCAAGATCCGTCCAAGTTCCCGATGGGTGTGGGCAAGTAAGCACAATCAATAGATTCACTAACAGAACAATAGTACCGCGCAATCCCTCCTCGTGGTCGTCTACTTCTGTCTTCTAGCTCTCAGTCTTCCATCCACGGTAGGTACTGTCCTGGGCGCGCGTCGATTTTGGTCTGGCACGGTGTCTTAAGCTTGTGTCCATCCAATCATGGTGCGGACATTAGGTCACCTGGCCAAAATCATGCTGGGTTCACGTGAACATCTCATGGGGTGTACGTGCCTCACACACACAAAGACACTGTCCTTGAGACAGTCCGTTATCTCATGTACGTGCAGGACAGTAGTAGACATTTTGTCCTTGAGACACTCACGTGATCCTGGGTGTAAACTCATGAGTTTCAGTCCAGCTGCCCACAACACACTTAACTTAAAAGTTAACCCGTTCGCAACATCTATTATGATTCTAACATTATACAAAAAGTGTAAATTCTAACAAATAATATCCCTTGCATTTGGTAGGCAACAGATAGAGTAGTACTGGCTGCCCTTCAGTGGAAAGGATATCAATGTCATAGTAAGTTCACTAGGATGATACCAAGGATGAGGGTTGTAGTTATGAGGATAGGCTCAAAAGTTCTGTCCATTTTCACTGATACAGGGAGAGTTTAAGAGGGTACTTAATAGTTGTCTTCTGAATTTTGAAGTGTTTCGAGAGGGTACGACACAATACAATTCACATTTATATAGTGCCTGTCACATAGGAAGAATGTTGGAAAGCGCTTGAAAGAGTTTGAAATAGATAGTCAGTGGATAGCTAGCGAAAGATAGTTTCCAATGGTTGGTAGATCAGCAATAAAGGTCATAAAATGCAGATTGCCTCTGGAAAATCTAAAGGAAGATTTAGAAGGAAGTTTTTCATACCGAGCGCAATCTGAACATTGAGTCCATGCCTTGTCTGAAGTTATTATTCAGGCTGAGACCATGACACCATTCAGAAGGAAACTGAATGAAAATTTGAAGAAGAATATGAAAAGGAATGGGAAAATAACAAGGATTTGAGAATATAGTATTTATATCCATTTGAGGAGCAGGTACATCATGAGTCAATGGACCAAAAGGCCTCATGCTATTCTGTAATCTTTATGATTCTATAATAAACCTTTCTTTTTTTATTTACCAAACTCACAAGTCATGGAAGTTGTCATTCTAATTCAACAATCTCTTTTGCATGCTGTCTCACTGGCAGTGATGTGTGGCTCTTCTTTCTCACCAGATGTGAAGGCAGTCTCCTTTCCAATGAGCAGCGAAACATAGCTCTTTCTTTGCCTCCACTTGCAGTTTCTACTCAAATGGCTGAATACTCCCTATATGATGTAACTGCTATACAGTTCACAGCAGGAAAAAAGCAATATCTTGAGAAAGCAATGATTGACGCACAATTACTTAAATTTTTTCCATGACCAGTTCTTAGATTTTTTTNCCTGCCCTATGACCAGTTCTTAAAGTGATATTTCAAATGTGCTTGCGGAGCAGTCATCCGTTTTAGGTGAAAAAGAAACACGAATGATTTTGAAATGCTTGGAAATTGCCTCTACCATTTACGGAGTGAACTTATTTGTATCCTTTATAAAGTAAAGCCAGATGACCTAAAATTAATAGATCCAATCACTTGATATTACTAGATTCATAAGAACTGTAATGAACTAGAAAATGCAATTCAGCTCAACATCCTATCCTTTTTGATGTGTCCCAACCTTAGCTACCGACCATCTCACAAACTCTTTAATTTTATTTTATTCCATTATCGTCCATCATATAGCTGATGAGCAATTTTGACAATCTGCTACTATATCATATTTGTAATAGATTCCATATGTGTGCAACACAATTTAATCACAGCACATTTGCAGAACAGCATTGTTTGTTTTGAATAAAACCATAGGTTATCATTTCAAGGTATATGCATATTTTCACTGGAAGCCTGCATTATAGTACATTTCCTCTGGATATTATTTAATAAGTAAACCTTGATGTTGACCAACAATGAACTTAGCTGTATGTGAACCAGCTAAAAATACTGCACTTTGGCAGTTGTCCTGAACAGGTTATTCTCTGACTCCTGAATAAACAGGTAAAGTTTGTTGAAAGTGGATAAAGTAGGACCTTTAGATTATTACATTTAAGTATGGGCAACTTTTTAAAGAAAAACAATAACGTATTGCAGATTTCAATGTAAGCTTACTTTCTGAAAATTAGTGGAAAGAGATATGAGGACTCTCCTTAACAATAATACTTTGCATTTTCCTCTTCTGTTGCAGCCTTTTTTCCAGTTCAAAAGAAGTGTATCCAAACAATCCATTTGACAATGGGAGTAACACAAATTCCATTGAATTGGAGAGATATGTAAGCCAACACTGCCATACCAGAATATCATCAGAAATTGAAAACCGCGAAAAGCAACAAGCAAGAAGGAAACTCTATGTTGCTGCTATTGTTTGCCTAATATTTATGGTTGGGGAAATTGTAGGTAAGACATGTACCAAGTTGGACTTTTGATTTTCCTCAACTTCCAACTGTTTTTCTCCCAAAGGTTGTGGGTTCAGACCCTACATTGGAGCATAGGCACTATACAAATATAATTTTGTATTGTAATTTTGTATTGTATAAACTCACAGTCTAGGCGGACACTCCAGTGCAGTGATTTGGGAGTGCTGCATTGTTGGAGTTGATGTCCTTCACAAGAACACGAGACTGGTTCAGATGAAGAAGACCCTGAGGCCTATTGGATCTCATCCTTGCAGAACACTCACCCTATATTTACTCATCATATCAACAAGTTGCTTTTAAATGAGTTCAGTGCCCCAGCCTTAACCACCCTTCCTGGCAATGTGTTCCAATCATTAATTATCCCCTCTATAAAGAAAAATGTCCTGCTATCTATCCTGAAATTGACCTTCGCAACTCTAAACTTACCTCCTCTTAATATGCTGTTTTCCTAGCCCAGCAGCCTGTTTACTTTAAACCGAGGTCCCTTCTGCCTGTCCTCAGTCACACATTAAGGATACTGTGACACTATTCAAAAGGAGAATGAAGTTTCTCCCAGTGTGCGGGCCAACAATCCCTAACTTAATCAATAATGTACTTCAAGGTTGTCTATGGGTTGCCTGAAAGGGTGGTTGAGGCCGATTCGATAACTACTTTTAAAACCGCGGTGGACGGGTATTTGAGGAGGACGGGTTTGCAGGGTTATGGGGAAAGGGCTGGGGAGTGGGATTGACATTTCATTGCTCTATTCAAAGAGCCGGCACAAACTCGATGGGCCGAATGGTCTCTTTTTGTGCTGGACGATTCTATGATTCTATTGTAGATGTATGCTATACTAACATGCACTCCCACCCTCGCTTGCCTCCACTGGCTCCCCATCCCCCAGAGGATTGAATTCAAGACCCTCATCCTCACCTACAAGACCATTCACGGCCTCGCACCCTCCTACCTCTCCGACCTACTATCCCCCCACGTACCTGCCCGTACCCTCCGTTCCTCTGGCTCTGGTCTGCGCCACATCCCCCACCCTACCATCGGTGGCCGGGCTTTCAGCCTCTCAACCCCTAGGCTCTGGAACTCCATACCCCAGTGCCTTCGCCTTGCTTCCTCCCTTTCCTCCTTCAAGGCCAGTCTCAAGACCTTTCTCTTCAACCGTGCCTTCAGCTCCCCTCTCGACTCTCTACCCCCTCCTCGCTCCCTCTCTCCCCTCACCCTGACCATTTCCCCCCTGCTCCGGTCCCGACCCAACTGTCCAGCACCTTGGGACGTCCTCCCGACGTGAAAGGCGCTCTATAAATGCAATCTTGTTGTTGTTGCTGTTGCTTCCAAAAAAACCCTGCCTTGTCAAAAACTGCCATCGCATAAGACAGTAATTACTGTAAAACACTTTAAACCTTTTCAACATTATTGGTACTATAAAATAGAATAAAATATATTTTATATCCTATTTGCGATAAAGCTCCATCCTATTTAATTGCTCCATGCACGTGCAAACAAACTAGCTTTTAGTGAGCTAGGTACAACGGCCCTACATTCTCTTTGTTCATCTACCCATGTTATAGATATCTATTTATTGAGGCTCAATTAGGAGTAAATCATCTAAGTTTGGTCTCCAGATAAACAGTGGAAAGAAAATCATTTTATTAAATATTTTACTGGGGCAATAATAATAATAATCTTTGCATTTGATATAGCGCTTTTCACGTCGGGAGGACATCCCAAAGCGCTTCACTGAACACACGTAGAGTGAATTCACTGTATATTTGTGAGCGAACGCGGCAGCCAATTGCACACAGCAATGTCCCACAAACAGTTGTAGATTGAAAATGACCAATTTATTATTGTTTTGGGTTTTTTGGAGGGATTATTATTAGGCGTGTGGAGTAAGGAAACTTGCCCAAGGTTTTGCCCTGCCTGGGATTGAACTCAGGTCTCTCGCTTGCAAAGCGAGTGCTCTAACCACTGAGCTACAGGATGATGCTACATTGATGCTCCTTTAATATTTTGTTAATTTTAAGGGCTATTTGCATAATGAAAATAATTTGATTTAACTAGTCACATAATTAGAACTTCAAAAAAAAGTTACTGAAATGTACAATTCAACCCATCTAAGTACTCAGTATCACAATCTTCCATAAAGTAAAACATTATTAAAATATATTGGTCCTGTTAAGAAATATTTTTNATTGTAAACTATTACTCATTTACAGTCTGTCACACATTTGCAACAAACCAGTTTACAATGGATTAAAGGGACACGTTTCTTGGCTCTGTCAAAAAAATGTTCTAATGTTAAGTAAATATTGCTTGATATTTTCCAATTAAACCCTGTAGTAAAGATCTACAATTATTTTAGAAATCATGTAATATATCTGTATGTGCATGTTAGTATAGCATATTTCTACAATAGAATTATAGAATCATAGAATTGTACAGCACAAAAAGAGGCCATTTGGCTCATCGAGTCTGTGCCGGCTCTTTGAATAGAGCAATGTAATGTCAATCCCACTCCCCAGCCCTTTCCCCATAACCCTGCAAACCCGTCCTCCTCAAATACCCGTCCACCGCGTTTTTAAAAGTAGTTATCGAATCGGCCTCGACCACCCTTTCAGGCAATGCGTTCCAGCTTCGAACAACTCGCTGCGTGAAAAAGGAATAATTCATCAAGGTACCGTTTGTGTAGAGCACCTTAAATGGTTCAGTTGGGAAAGGCTGTAGGTCCAGTGTGAACTAAATAAAAGAGACCAAACCAATTACAGGATCAATCTCTGGTCTGTACTGCATTAGGTGATTTTCAGTAGGGATGATCACAAGATTCTAAGAGAGGTTTGGATGAACAACGCTCTTTAGCTTGGGACTTCCTCCCGATGTGAAAGGCGCTACACAAAAATAATTTATTGTTGTAGTTGTTGTAGGTTAGGTGGTGGGATTGAAGTGATCTCCTGCGGGCTTGATGGGCCAAATGGTATCCTTCAGCTCGGTCGATTTCTATGTTTTTATGTATTTCTGTGGCCCATTCCATCACATCCTGCCATCCACTCATTATAGCATCGGGCTGTTTTTTAAATGAGTGCAGCATCCTGGTCCAAATTACCCTTCCAGGAAACCTATTCCAGTTGTTTAATACTCTCTCTATATGGTAAGGGTGATAAAAATGATTTCACTGCTCCAGGGCTGGAGCAGGGCAAAAAAAACAATCTCTATCTAGGATCCTGCTGAACAGTACATATGTTTGAATGTTACATGAGAAGAGGATCAGATGTTATATGAGAACAGGATCAGATGTCAACCTGGATCCAGAGTCTGCCAAGACTCACTGTTTGGGTTTGCATAAAAAACTTAACATAAACAACAACAAATTACATTTGTATAGCGCCTTTCACATCAGGAGGTCGTCACCCAGTTTCCATATAGCCAGTATGAGTCAATGCCTTCATGAGAGGTGGAGAGATAATTAAGAAAAATATAGTGCATAGGAAGAATATGTATATAAAAAGAGGAATAATAATAAGGTGTATGTGGAGCATGGAGAAGAGTGAGATTAAATTGGTTCATATACAGACTGAATGGGCTAAATTGCCTATTTCTGTGAGTGCATAATCTTGTGAGCCTTTTTCCACCATAAAGCAAACTAGAAGTGATAGAGGCTGAAAGATTATCCACGATCAATACAGTGTTAGGAGTCCTACAGTGTGACAAATAAAGTGAAGAGCTCAATGATTCTTAAACCTCTTGCTGAAAGCAGAAAGTTGACTTTGATGATGAAACAATGCGTTTGCTTGATCATATTTTTCTTCCAGTTGTTTCTGTTTTGACGCGTTTATCACTTCCAGTGCTTTGACTTGACCTTGCTATGGGTGTTACCGCCAAACACTTTGTAGTTCCTATATCCCTCCAACACATTTGGAGTAAATTTTCACTTGGGTCTTTATTTACTCTATGAGGGTAACATGATTTTGTTAAATTCTTAAAATACAATTTTTACTTTTGAAGCTGGTTTTGAGTAAGTTATTTTGTGAACTGGAGATAACAGGAATTAAACAATTTGTCAATTTTTTCACACTCTGAAATACTACATTAATAGATTAAATCCAGATCCAGGTGGAATTTCTCCTCTTATATATCCTAAATAAGACTCCAAAAAATGACATTACAAAAAAGATGTACTGTGATTTATTTTCTCTTTCAGGTGGCTACTTTGCTCACAGTCTGGCAATTATGACAGATGCAGCACATTTGCTAACAGACTTCGGCAGTATGTTAGTTAGTCTCTTTTCCCTTTGGATTTCTGCACGTCCTGCCACAAAAGCTATGAATTTTGGCTGGCATAGATCAGGTAGGAGAGTTTTTCTGCATTGGGTTTTAGAAGTACAGTTCATGAATATTTACGAAACCTTCTTCCCATATAAACAAAGCCTGTTTAAGAGCTAGTTGCTGAAATGGAAGAACAAAGGGTAGGTTTCATCAAATGTCTTGCAGAATTCACTTTTTAAAAATTCACTATTGAAGAATTCAATTTTTAAAAATAGCCTGAACATTTCTCACAAAATAAAACATTTCTCTCTTTAGATCAAACTATAATGTTTCTCTCTTCAGATCAGAAGTTTGCATACAATCTATTTCCTGGTGTTTTATTTTGAGGTGAAACACGTCACTGCTTTAGAAAATGTGCCTGACTGGTAATGCTGGTCAACTGTATTATGTTGAATTAAGTAAATTAATGTAACATTTTTGAATAGATTATTTGCCACATTGAGATGTACAGCTTTGTGTTAACAATGTGGACTAATTTTGTCATAAATGGCAAACTTGTACTAAGATTGTGCAGGATATTGTTATGAGGAACTCAACATAAATATAAAACAATAACACATCAGAGACTGTCTACAATGTTTAGTGTACAATCCAATAGAAAATAATACGGGCCCTTGATTTCAGCAAGACATTTTAAAGTAAGGTGTTTTATCAACAGATAATTGAATTTATCAATTCAAGTCTAATGCTTGTTTCACACTGGTGAAACACTGTAATTGGTAATACACTACAATTATATTTAATTTGTATAGCATCTTTCACATTGGGAGGACGTCCCAAGGTGCTGGACAGTCAGGATTTGGGCCCAAGTGAGGATTAAGGGAGGGTGGAGGGCAGAAAGGGTAGGAGGATGGAAGGAGGCACGGTCATAGAGGAGGGTCTTGAGAGGTGCCTTGAAGGAGGCAAGGGAAGGAGCGAAGTGAAGGGAATGTGGGATGGAGTTCCAAAGGGTGGGGGCAATAAACAACATTTGACAAATAAGCAAATCGTAAATTCTATGTTGCTAAGAAGGGATTTCAAACAGATTTGGTTTATTGAAAAATTAAGCAGATTCAGAAAATCCAACATTTTAAATTTTCCTTAGATTTGAAATTTTTAGTCAATCCATAGTTTTGTAATCCATCCCAGTGTATCAAGTTCCCTGCCTTAAAAAAAATCCATATTAAAATACATGCTGAAAACTAGCTAAACAAAAGAATATATTAATATATGAATAAAAGTTGGGTATGCATGTCGTAGCATAAAAATCCTGAAAACATTTGACCATTCGTGGAACACAAACTTTTTGCTTTCTGGCCTCCAGCATTTCAGATCCCTGCAGCACACAGTGATTTATGGCTGTCTCTTCCTTTATCTCTGCAGTGTCTGACCTGTAAATCAACTCAGAACCTGCGGTTGTGGCCCAAAGGTTTTTCAATGTGAGATCACATCAGGATGTTCAGACCTCTTTTTATCCCAGCTTTAAATTGATTCAAAAATATGATCTTTGATTTTTGCAATGTATTCCTAATTATTTTTTATTAAGTGAGTCGTGCTGAATCCTCTGAATTTAACGGTATGGGGTTTTGTGCTCACGAACACACAACGTGTTGAGGAACGTAACACTCTACTATTGTTGCCGGCTATTTTTATCTGAAATCCTCCTTGGTTGGGTATAATTACCGCACTTGTTATCTTTCCTCCAAATGAAAGTATGACAATTGGTGGTGGGGAATTGCATTAGAATTGAGGTCAATTTATATTCAGAACAATAAGATTATTATCAATTGTCTAAAACATGCTTCAATATATTTAATGTTTATTTGGAACATGAATGCACAGGTAGAGGGCATAGATTTAAAAAGGAAAAGTGTCAAATAGCTCAAAAAAAATTTAACAGTCCCTCTCCCCACTCCATTATGTGGCATAACAGAAGCAAACAGAAGCAATTGATCCATTACAAATTACAGTACAATTTACACTTATATAGCGCCTTTCTCGTGGCACTTGATACTAAACTGATACCATGCAGATGGTAACTAATATAATATCTATTTTTTTTGAAAAAACTAAGCAAATATTCCTACCCACCATTCTCACATCCATAGTGCAAGAACAGTATTGGAGATATAGAAATGGGTGAGGAGTGAAATGAACAAATGCTACAAAGAACACAATGACCTCAGTCCTATTGGCGCTGGAAATTTAAGAGGTAAATAAGCGAAAGTATGGAGAGAAAAGAGGCCAACGGTGAAAAGGTGAAGATTTAAAGGATGCATATTCTGGATTCAAGTATAGTATATCTGTATAATATACAGTGGAAGCCACTTGAGCTGGATGTCGGTTAATCCATGATTGATGGGTGGAGCCCATTCATTCACAAGTGGCTTCAGGCTGTCAATAATCTTGGAGCTGCTGCTATTTGGTCCTATCGAACGGGAATGGCAACGCGAGGTAGAGGGTATTACTACTGCTCCTCTACTGGGTGGGATGAGGTAAGAGAACTTTGGTTAGCCTAGGACGCTGCTTAAGATAGACAAATGGCTGCCCCCGATGTGTCCATCTTAACCAGCTTCCACTGCATCGCACAAGGATTTAAAGCAGAGAATGAGCTAGGTTTGCCTTGGTTGTGGAAGGAATGCGCTTGCTAGTTTGAATGGCCTTTTCTCATTTCATGTTTTTGTATATTTTTTAGAAAATCTAATTTTGTTCTGTTCTAAGTAGAATTTTTACCCAAGCAATAACACGCTGGACGATTATTGCAGTTTTAATTTGCAGCATCTTAAATATAATTAATTACTGTCATATTTCACTTGGAGACAATACATTTTAGAAATCAGGTTTAAGTGCAGTGTTTCCATTTGGATTGAGCTGTTAAATTGCGGGGTTAATGGACTGTGCTATGAGCCTAACCAATGTGCTATTTTTAGCTGCTGTATCTAGAAGTCCTGATGCAAGCATAACATTTCTTGGCAAACCAGTCTAGCACTCATGAAAACTAAAGAGCCAGTACATCTAAGGCCCTTGTCCAGCAAGGTGGTGTGAATGCTTGTTGGCACTGTAGCAATACACATTAGCAAATTACCCATCTTGGAGCAAGATCCTTTCAATGTCTCCTGGGTTCTCTTTACTTTGTTTGTTCTGAACGAAACACTTATTAGAAATCACGCACTGCTTTTTGGAAACAATCCCGATTTTAAAAAAAATGCACAGTTTATGTTTTCAATGTAATTGCATTTGGATTCTTGTGTTACACCGTAAGAACAATTAACTCCCAATTGCTGTGTTGACAGCATATTGACTGATAGAAAAAATAAAGAAAAAACATAGAAAGTGGTTTGATTGATTGCAATCCTAAAGAATATAAGTAACCTGTTATCTAGTAAATTGTAAACCCTTGACTGTCTGGTGCCTTGGGAAATCCTTCCGAAGTGAAAGGCACTATATAAATGTAATAAATGTGGAGACCTGAGCGTTAGTGGTTAGAGCAGTCGGTCTGCAAGCGAGAGGCCCTGGATTTGATTCCCAGGCAGGGCGAAATGTTGGGCAAGTTTCTTTACTCCACACGCCTCTGTTTACCTATCTGTAAGTAGGAACCTGGTTTTTAGTCGATTGGTGTATCGCTTTTCCAAGGGTAATACGTTAAAAAGGAATGTGGTCACTCAATCCACCACTGTTTGTGGAACATTGCTGTGTACATTTGGCTGCCGCGTTTCACCCACAAAATGTACAGTCAATTCACGTTACAGTATATTCTGTGAAGCGCTTTGAGACGTCTCGAAGATGTGATAAGGCACTATATCAAATGCAATAATTATTATTATTAGAATTTATTGTTGTTGAACTGTAGAAATTACAGTACACACTCAATTGTGCCTGTGCTAGCAACCTGTCCATTTGATCCATTTAATCTGATGCTGTTTCATATATATTTTTATATTTCTCCTTTTGAGATATTTATCTAATTCCCTCTTTAAAACTAACATGGCCGTATCCATGGTTCCAGGTAGGACATTCCTTGTCCTAACAACCCTCTGTATTATAATTTGTTAGATTATATCACATTAGGGGTTGAAAATGTAATAATCACAAACTGGAAGCGACTGTGCAGATAATGATCTCTAATATTAAAATTAAACTGTGGGGTTCACTTAATAATCCTCACAATTGTTTATGCATTTCCCCACAAAATATACAGTCAATTCACTTTACAATACATTCTGTGAGGCGCTTTGAGACATCTCGAAGACGTGATAAGGTGCTATATCAAATTCAAAGATTATTAATATTATTTGGTTAGCAAATTTCACATTTGAGGATGTCCCAAAGCACTTCACAGGATTTACTGTAAAGTGGAATGACTGTGTATTTTGTGGGCCAATTTGCAGCCTAGATGTGAACCACTAATTCTATTTTGGGGGTTTGTTGGCCAGGATACCAAGAGAAACTCCCTTCTTGTTTTGAGTAGCACCAAAGGATCTTAATGTCCACCTGAACAGGCAGACAGAATCTTGATGTAACATCTAATTTGAAAGAATGGCAGGGTGGGTGTTTTGGATGGATGAAATTTGATGGGCCGATGAGCCTTCTTCATCCAGACCGATCTTCCGATCTTGTAAATTTCAGCTCATTCATATTGTCTTCTTCCCACCAATAGTGGGTGGCCAAGCCTATGCTCCCTGAACTCTCTCCCATAATCCCTTCACCTTGCTCTTTCTCTCTAACTTATTGCATTGACCATCCCTTTGGTCAACACTTTTAAATTCTTCCTTCTCTCGCCCCTACTGAGTTATCTCTATTATCTCTGTGAAGCACTTTGAGACTTTTATTCCCAGTGAAATGCACTGTATAAGTGAAAGTCTAAATCTGTGTCCTCTTGGTGCATCAAAAAATATTGTTCTGGGTTTTCTTTCTCAATCCCATTTAAAACTTTATCTATCTCAATTAGTTCCCCTCAGATATCTTTCCAGAAGAAAGTGAGGAAGAGATGTGATAATGTCATTAATTACTCATAATCTATTCTCCATATTATGTATGTTTTCA